AAGACAAAACCAGATACTGAAACACCAAGGAACATCTCAAACATCATAATTACAGATGCCTTGATCCAAGAGCAAAAGCACAAACATGAATAGCCGCCCCCCCAAAAAAATGCCACCTTCAGAAGCCAGTAACCCTATTGCAATAGAACCTTAGAAATAGTAAATTCTATTTAAGTGCAAGATAAGGTATTCAATTATGAATTCAAATTCAAATTATGAATTTGTTCAAGGACCTTAAGGAAGATATGAACAGATGCCTTAATGCAGACTATGAAAATATAAGCAGTGGAATGAAACCATGAAAGTGTTTCAAGACATGAAAGTAAAAATAAAATCACTAAAAAAATGCAAACTGAAAATGAAAAACTCAGGATGTCAAACAAAAACCTCACCAACAGATCTCTAAGACATGGAAGAGAAAATGTCAGGACCTGAAGACAAGTTAGAAGAAATGGGTAGCTCATTCAAGGAAAATGTTAAATTAAAAAAAAAATCCAGGTACAAAACATCCTGGAAATCTGGGGCACTATGAAAAGACCAAACCTACAAATAACAGGGATAAAAGGATGAGAAGAAACCCAGGTCAAAGACACAGAAAATATTTTTTAGCAAAATTATAGAAGAAAAATTCCCCAATCTAAAGAAACAGGTGTCTATTAAGGTACAAGAAACATTTAGAACATCAAATAGACAGGGCCAGAAAAAATTCCTGACCACACATAATAAACAAAGCACAAAATGTATAGAACAAAAAGAGATTAAAAGCTACAATGGGAAAAGACCATGTCATATATAAAGGCAGGACCATTGGAATAACACCCAACTTTTGAGTGCAGGCCCTAAGTCAGAAGAGCCTGGACAGATGTTCTCCAAGATCTGAGAGACTACCGATGCCAGCCCACAACACCCAGCAAAACTAGCAGTCAAAACTGACAGAAAAAGAAAAACGTTCAACAATAAAAACAAATTTAAACTGTTTCCACTTACCAATCCAGTTCTACTGAAAGCCTCTGAAGGAAAACTTTAATCTAAGGGGTTAACTACACCCAAGAAGACACAAGGAATAAATCATCCAAGAACAATAAAATACAAAAGAAATGTAAAATGCTCACATTGTAGCAACACAATAACAGGAATGAAAAAACACTGTTCACTAATAACTCTCAGTGTTAGTGGTCTCAATTCCCCAATAAGAAGACAGAGTAAGAGACTGGATTAGAAAGCAGAATCCATCTTTCTGCTGCATCGAAGAAACATACCTCACCATCAGGGATATACATCATCCTAGTTTAAAAGTATGAAAAAGACATTCCAAGCAAATAGACCCAAGAAGGGATCAGATATAACTACTTTAATATCTGAAAAAATAGACTTCAAATAAAAAAATAGGAAGGCTATCATAAACTCATTAAATGAAAAATCCGCCAAGAGGATATTATAATTCTAAACATTTATGTACCACAGGAGTACCCATGTTCATAAAAGAAACACTACTACAGCTAAAATTATATATTGGCCCTCACACAATGCTGGTGGGAGACTTTAATACACTACTCTTGCCAATAGACAGTTCATCTGGAAAAAGCTAAACACAGAAATGCTGGAGCTAAGTGATGTCATAAATCAAACGGACCTAGCAGATATCTACAGAACATTCCATCTAAATACTGAAGAATATACTTTCATCTTGGCAACTCATGGAACTTTCTCCAAAATTGAACATGTTTTAGGACACAAAATAAGTCTCAATAGATACAAAGAAAAACATTGAAACAACACCCTGTATCCTATCTGACCACCACGGATAAAGCTGGATATCAACAGCTATTGAAACAGCAAAAAGTAGGCAAATTCATGCAAGTTGAGCAATTCACTACTGAATGCAAATTGGGTCGAGACAAGAATCAAGAAGGAAACTAAAAACTCTTTAGACTTGAATGAAAATAAATATATAACGTACCCAAACCTTTAAGACACAATGAAAACAATTCTAAGAGGTAAGTTCATTGAACTAAGTGCCTACATCAAAAAACTGGAGAGATGTTAAATTAGTAACTTAATGAAACATCTGAAAGTTCTAAAAAAAACAAGAATAAATAGTGTCCAAAAGGAGCACACAGGAAAAAATAATCCAACTCAGGGCTGACACCAATGAAACAACAAACACTATCAAGAATCAATGAAATGAAGAATTAATATCTTGAGAAAACTAATAAGATTGACAAACATTAAGCCAAATTAACGTAGACACACAGAGAAGATCCAAATTAATAAAATGAGAGGTGAGAAGGGGAACACTACAACAGACACCAGGGAAACTCAGAGAATCAAAGGACATACTTTAAAAATTTGTATGGCACCAAACTAGAAAACCAAAAATAAATGGATGAATTTCTTGATATACACAAACTACCAAAGTTAAATCAAGATAAAATAAGCAATTTAAACAGATCCACAACCCCTAGTGAAATAGAAACAGTAATTAAAACATCTCCCAACTAAAAACAGCCCAGGGCTAGGTGGATTCAGTGTAGAATTATGCCAGACCTTCAAAGAAGAATTAAGGCCGATATTCCTCAAATTATCCTGCAAAACAGAAATTAAAGCAACACTTCCTATTTCTTTTTAGAAGGCCACTATTTCCCTGATACAAAAACCACACAAAGACTCAACAAAAAAGGAGAATTATAGATCAACATTCCTTCTGAACACAGACGCAGAAATTCTCAATAAAATACTTGCAAACCAAATCTAAGAACACATAAAAAAGATGATCAACTTGGCTTCATTCCAGAGATGAAGGGATGGTTCAGTATATGTAAACCAATAAACTTAATCCACCATATAAACAGATTAAAAGACAAAAACTACATTATCATCTCATTACATGCAGAAAAGGCCTTTGACAATGCAACATCCCTTCCTGATAAAAATACTGGAGAAACAAGGACTACAAGGGACCTACCTCAACATAATAAAGGCAATTTACAACAAGCTGAAATCAACCAAATAGGGGAAATTCATTTCCCCCAAACTCAGGAACAAAACAAGGATATCTACTCTCTCCATCCCTATTTGATACAGTACTTGAAGTGGTTGGCTTATAAGGTTGAGGAGGCAGAGGTACAAGAGTGTTCTTTGCTTCATGTATGGGTATGTGTATGGTTCTCATGGGAAACATGGAGTGTGAATGTATGTTGTATTTATGTGATAGATATTATATACACATGCTCTATGATAGAACTTAGTGGAAACCAAATGGACCACCACAATGGACAGAACATTCTGGAGTATCCTAGAAAACAGAGCTGTGACATCCACACACCTGGGCCGCCCCTCTGGGCTCAGTTTTGAATCTTGGCTCTGTCCCCTCCTGGTCATGTGCCTCTGGGAAAATTACTGATCTTTTGTGAGCTTCAGATCGATCAGCCATCACGAGCACATCATTATGCTTCTCTTGGTGGTGTCAGAGCTCAGTGAATATACTACACAACAGGAAATAAAGCCTAAAGCAAATAAAACAGAGGGAAGCCAGTGAGGAGGAGGCAAGGCTGACCTATGCCCCAGGTGTTACCAGACCTGCAGTTTCCTCTAAACTCACGTTGCAACCAAAACAAAGAGAACACATGTTTCCCTTCATGTGATATCTTCAAGCTGAAGATCAAATTCTCCATGATCACCCAGAGCCTTGAAGTGTGCCTACTTTCATGTTTCTGTCCTCAGACAGGCGTCATGACCTCCTTTCCTTTCAAAGCAACACAGCTGTTCCTCACTAATGTCTACAAACTCTATGTGAAAATAAAATAGAGCCACAGATATGAGGAAATGAACCTTATTAGGATCCCAAGCAGGGAAGTCTCCAGACCTGTTACTGGGGAGAGGGACTTAGGAAGAGTGAGGATTGACATTTCCCTGGAACAGTTAGATTCTGCATAAAGGGTTAGCTTTTCACACTTGCAGCCCCCCCCCCGGGAGAAAAGTGAAATTAGTTCTTATTAACTTAGGCTATTCTTCCCCTAGGTTAACATTTATGCATTCTTGCCAGTGTTGAGCACCTTGTTAATTGGTAATAGCATGGGGTCAAGTTGGATAGTTAAACTACATTTTATTGCTGTAGACATTAGTTACTGGCCTGTGAAGAGGGTTTTCTTGTGTGTACATTTTTTTTATTCTATAAGCACATCTTGCTTCATAGACTTAATTTATCGGGAGAAACAGACATTACAATGACTTTCTTAACAATCCGAAGAAATGGAATTCCAATATGCCGTATGCCTTCTTAGAGCTGACAGGTGTTTTTCTGAAATACTTGAAGAGACACTAGCCCACTCTAGCTAGCATCTGACAGGCCTTGCCCTTCTCTCCCATTCCCCCTGCCTTGCTAAAAACCATTAGATTACATTCCTGAAGCTAGCGACCAAGGCCTAGTCCCTTATTTGGCCAATCCCTCCTCCTGAGGCTGACCACCAAGGTAGTTGAATCAAGGTATTGAAGTTCAGCAATCAAAAGACCCCTTTGGCTCACCTAATTAACTTGCCAAATTAAAATTAAACACCTCATCCTAACACAAGGTTTCCCATTTTATCTTTATAAACCACCATTTACTTGCCTGTGGGCCTCATCTGTCTCCCCTCTTTCCAAAGGCAGTCCGTTGTCCTCTAGGACAAATATCCCTGCCCCCTTTCCCTTGTTCCCTTCCCCTACTCTCTCATTCCTAACCCCCCCCCTTGCCTCTTATTCCCTGCCCTCTGTACCTCTGGGCCAAATAAACCTCCTTTGTGGTGAGATCTTGGCCTTGGGGGCCCTGAGCCGTTACTTTTCCTTTCAATACATGAAGTAATGCCCAAGGATGACTTGTCTTTCTGATAAACGGCCACATAAACAAAGGGCTTAGAAACTAATGAGGCAGGATCATTCTGTTTTTCCAAAGGGAAAATGTTTAGTTTCCTAAGACTTTTTTTTAACCTTCTCATTATGCAGTGTGTACCCACAAATTAAAACCAAAATAGTTTGAGTTAGACAAGCCGCATAATTTTGGAAGTGAAGCTAGATAGATCCGGTTGTTTTATTTGCACATGCCCTGGATGTTCCTAGTTTTATTTAAGTTCATCTGGAAGTGTGAGATATTTGCAGATGTCACACTCTTGTTAGGAACATTCATTCTTACAAACAGAACTCTTTTAGAAATCTGATAGATCCTTTGTAATTCAACTGCAGTAAAACTTAGGTATGTATTATTTTCAGGTTAATTAGTTCAAAAAGTCATAATTAAGTTTTCTGAAACCACTGGTCAAATCCACAAGATGGCAAAGAGACAGAACTTCAATGCATATATTTGGCAATTTCTGCTAACTATAAATAGACAGAAGGAGACCATCACCATCCTGTCAGGACATTACTCTTTCATATTCCATTTTACCTAAGGACAAAAGAGGCTCACGACTTCTGACAGGGGAGTCTATAGGCCATTTGATTTTCTATTCAAATTCATTTAGTTTCAAGTTCAGTAATGATGAACTGATTACTTATTAACAGTCCAACTGTCAAATCGATGAAGAACTAAGTTAGCCATTATGGAAGAAGGATTTCTCCCAAAGACTATATCATGTATTATTAATTTTTGAGATGGAGAATTGGCTGATCTGGCACTTGTATTGCAACCCAGGCTGGTCTTAAACTCATTGCAATCCTCTTGCCTCAACTTTCCCATGGAATTACAGGAATGTGCCACCTTGCCGGCTTAATATCTATACATTCTAAATCGGCATATAATGTGACAGCACCATAGCTGGAGTCATGTAAGTCCTGGAATCATCTTTGAAAACCCATCAGCAGTTAGTTGAAGAGAGTTTTGAGGAACAGCATATAATATAACCAGCTGCCCTGTCTCATTTGTGGAGAAAAGCGCGACTTGGTTACGGAGTGTCCTTGCGGCTCTCTTGTGTCTCAGTGGTCCTGATTTTTCCTGTATTCAGTCCAAAAGGAAGATAACCAGGAACAAATCTCAGAGAACATGCATAGCTGTCCTGCAGAAGCAAAGTGGCCACAGCTGAGAGCCCATCACTCGTCTCTGCTAATGTGAGCAACTATTGGTTGAATTTCCTTTCCGAGGAGAAACCTATGAAAGACAGTAAGAAAATGATTCAGATTACATTTTTAAATTTCGTTTTTCTTCTGGCATAGGGATAGATAACATAAACTTCTGGGTTGGCCTAAAGGAGAGATATTTTACTCATGAACTCCCCACACACTTATTCAGAAATCTAAAGGTGGGCAATTGGCAGTCATTGTTTCAAGTACTAGCACAGGCTTACCATTGAGGCAATCAGTTGTGGTCTAATTCTAATCATGAATGGAGAAGAATATTTTACGTCAGAATTCTCATTCTCTCTGGCATTGCAGTGGCTTGGGCATTTGCTTGTAAAAGTAAGTCATCTCTACTGTTACCTCTCAGGCTTACCCTATCCCCAAAGGAAAAGCACTTGCCAAGTGCACACAATTGCTGGTTAAAATGTTTCCCTAGTACATGCCTGGAATCCAGCACTTGAGAGGCTGAGGTAGGAGGTTGACCTCGACCAGTGGGCACTACAGAGCAATATCTTGTCTCCAAAAAAAAAAAACTAAAAGAAGGGTAAAATGGTACTGACTGTGTTGTAAAAGCCACAGAAAATACCATAATTTGTAAAAATTTGTTAGTGCAGTATGAAGACGAAGATGAAAGTGTTTACATATTTTCATAGGCTTTGGATAGAACAGCATAAGTGAGCATGAGAGAAAAGATAGAACAAGAGGTTTACATGTGGCAGCAGGAAACAGGAATAGAGTTGTCATTAAAGAACATGTTTCATTTACTCATCATAACATAAAAATATATTGAGTATTTATGTTTGATATCCTGCATTTGGAATACCCAAGACATGAAAAGCTAACATCTTAAAAAAAAAAAAAAGCCATGATGAAAATGTTAGTTTTCTCCATCTAAAGAAACATCTCTGTGAAACAGATATAGATTAGTACAGAAAACCATAAGCCATCAACACTCAAAGAACAAGTGATGATGTGGTGCCCAGCACCACTGATATATCTACAACACAGCTCCTGCATCTAAGGTTTAGTGATCCTAGCAGAAGAGGGGGTAGAAAGGTTGTAAGAGCCAGAGGAACAGGGAGTTCGATGTGAGGCTGTGTCTCCTAGAAAGGTCAGAGATTACACCCATGAAGTCTCATCAGATGGTTGCCTAAAAAATGACCTGCACAAAGATGGCTACCAATGGGCAGGCTACCATGGAAGGGGGAAGTTCATGGGGCCACAACTCTAGGCAACAAAGGTATGTATGCTGACAGGGGAGAAATAGCCTTTTCCAGGGAAAAGTCTCCAATGTGTTTTCAATACCAAGTGGTCAGCCTTGAAATCATATACAAACAAATAACATTATACAGACTTAGCAGGTTACATTTATATTTTTAGAAAAATATATGTAAACATATATAAATTTGTATTCCTAAATATATTAACACATTTACATATTTGTCAATTTATTATATATGTATATACACAGAGAGAGAGACATGTAACAACAATTAAAAATATAAGCCATGAATTTGAGAGAAGGTGAGGGGGTACATGGGAAGAATTAAAAAGAGGAAAAGGAGGAGGGGAAATGATGTATTTATACTTTAATTTCAAAAAGATTTAAAAAAAAACAAGTTTCAGAAAAGTATGACCATCATAAAAAAGGTAACTGACGAAGTACTGTGACAGAGAGGAGAGGTCATTACACACTCCCTCAGAAATAAGACGCAGGAATGTTATTACACACTCCTTAAAGAGAAGCAAGATGCATGTGATTGTGTGATATGACAACACTTCTTATTATAGTAAGTTATAACAATGGAGAAGCCAAAGCTAGAAACTTTCTGTACATTAAGAAGATAAATAATTCTTACACTGAAGCATAATTCACCAATGTAACTAAGGGGAGTTAGGACTGAATTCACTAATGGCTCCTGTCTGCAGCCATGTTTAAAAAGTCCTCTTGTCATTTGGCCAGTGCTTTTCTGAGATAGGTAGAGCTAAGATCCTTATCATCTTGCTTTGGAAAGAGGCTGTGGCCATGAAATAACCCATAGCAGAATGGGAATTTGACAGAACAAAGTCAAACTTTTTTTTTCTGAAGGGAAGGTAGAGTTTTCCTAATACCTTGGCCAGTTTTCCCAAACCTGTTTCCCATTTGAGATGCAATAATATACAGCTTGTTCTCCTTCCTAAAAGCCTTTAGCTTCTGCTTAAGAGAACATAAGCAAGTTACTAATTTAAGTAACTAATTATATATCATACTCATTTATCCATCTGTCATCTATCTGTATCCTATCTATATATTCATCTATTATATATCATCTGTCTATATTATCTGTTATCTATTTACTGTCTATATATTGTCTATTATCTATTATCTGTCTATATTATCTATTAATTATTCATATATTATCTACTATCTATCCATCTATTACCAATTATCATTTATCAACTCTATTATCTATCATCATAGCTATGTATCATCTATCATCTATTTACTGTAAATCTATTATCAATCATCTACCAATCACCTATCATCATAGCTATTAGCAATACATCTATTATCTATTACCTATCACTTAGCTAACCCTATCTCTCTATCCAGCAATATATCTGTCACCTGCCCCTCTTTATCTACATATCATTCTAATATCTATCATCTATCTATATATCACCCATCACCTCCTATCAATGATCTATTATCTATCTTTCTAATATCTATCTTTCATCTATCTGTATGTATCATCTATCTGCCCATTTACCATTTATCAGTCTATAATCTGTCTATCCATCGAACATGTACCTATCTTCTATATATCCTCTATCATCTATCATTCAGCTGTGTATGTATCTTCTATCATACAGTATCTATCAACCCATTCTCTATCCATCTATCATCTATTATCTACCTATCCATTATCTATAACCTAGTTATCATCTATTTATAATATATATCACTATCCAACTTTATTCATCTACTGGGTGCATATATGTAGTTGTTAATTAAAATTTTAACATTTGTTTACAAATCAGTGTTTGAATGGGAATATATTTATTGCTTTTATGTTTATATATACTTTAGTAGTTCTTTAGCAAAATCATTGCATTTAGTGATAAGCAGAACATTTGAGAGATTTTCTATTTAATTACTAGTAGAGTAAGAAAAAATGTATTTTACAAGGAAAACTATTCTCGATAATCTATCTGTACTGGATACTAAGTATAATTGTAAACATCCTGTTTCTTGTATCTCAGAGTAATTTTGCTTTTTATGTAGTCACTTTGTTTTTGCATACTGACAGGAACAGTATATAGCCAGGTAAGCCAGTGTTTTTACTAACATAAGCATTATCTATAATGATACAATATAAAAGCTGCTAAAAAACATAGAAACTTAGAATTAAAGATGCTGGTTTTCAAAATAAGATTATCATAATCTATTAGAATAAAAAACCATGCATGTTTGTTTTTATTTTATTTTACCTACTATTAGCTCAGAATAGTCCATATTTCTTGGTGGTCCTAATGTGGGATTTGCTGTTATGCTACCTAGACTTTCCTATGCCCTAGCCAATAACAAGCTGTATGCATGTTAACAAGTTATATTATCTTTCTGTGCTTCAAAACTCCAAATGTATAAAACACGGACAATTGTGGTGATATTTTGTGTATGCTCTAACAAATAAAGCTTGCCTGAAGGTCAGAGGGTAAAGCCAGCCACTGGTTAGCTACAGAGGCCAGGCAGTAGTGGCACATACCTTTAGTCCCAGCACTTGGGAGGCATGGGCAGAGGGAGATGGATCTCTGTGAGTTTAAGACCACCCTGGGCTACACAAGATTGATCCAGTTTAAAATAGAAACAGAGCCAGGCAGTGGTGGCACACACCTTTGATTCCAACATTTAGGATCTCATGCCTTTAATCTCAACACTAGGAGGTGGAGACAGGAAGTCATATGGCTGGGTGGAGAGAAGAATATAAGGTGGAAGGAGACAGGAGCTGAGAGCTCTTTCAGGTAGCTGAGGATTCGGTAGAGGTAAGAAGTCTAGCGGCTGGCTGCTCTGCTTCTCTGATCTTTCAGCATTTACCCTGATATCTGGCTCTGGTTTTCATTAAGACCAATTAGGATTCATGCTACAGACAATAATAGTGCTTACTTAACAGGCTTGTTATAAAGCTCTGATGAAGTATTATATGTATACACAAAGCACCTAAAATAATGTTTGCCATGTGGTCAGTATTATGGATTGAATTGTACCCTGGAGAAGAGATGTTTAATTCCCAAAGTTTGGAAATATGTCTTTGCATGTGTGACTGGATGGTGATAAGGTAGCTCTCCTCACAGTGACCTGTCACTTAGCAGAACCAATGTATTTCAGGTAAAAGGGAGTTTGGGGTATGGACACAGAGGAAGATGGTCATGTAAAAGGAAGGTACAAATAGGAGCTGAGCTGACCCATGATGGCTGTTTCTTATGTTTACTTTTCTTCACCTGAGAGGCAATCCCTTGGACATGTCTGTGAGGGTGTTTCTAGAAAGGTATAATTGAGCTGGGAAGATCTACCTGAATGTGGGCAAGGACCATCCATGGACTTGGGTTCTGCACTGAATAAAACAGAGAGTGAGTAGAACACCAGCATTCACCTTATCCTGCTTGCTGGCTGCTGGCTCAGTAAAACCAGCTGCTCTCGCTCCTGAGACCACATGTTCCCTGCTAGGGTGGCTCAAACTCTAAGCCCAAATAAACCCTTCCTCTCTTGTGTTGCTTTTTGTTAGATATTTCGTTACAATGATGAGAAAAGCAATTCATGTTCAGAATACCTGGAACTGCCGCAAGTTGAAAGAGGCAAGGCAGGAACCTCCCTTACAGAGTTTTTTGAGGGATCATGACCTTGTCAACACCCTGATTTGAAACCACTAGGAAGAATGTTTCTGCTCTCTGAAACCACCTAGTTTTTGGTCTGTGTATTTCCATTCCTACAAAACAAATCTAGCTTGTGTTCAGAGTGGTAGAAATGGTCAGCTATGATGTTTAGGTACTGGT